TCTGCAAATTTCCTCTTTCTTAAACGTCCCTCAAATTACCCCATGGAAAGCACCAATTGTTTCCTATCAGGACCCTGACTGATATAACACCAAAATATTATCAGTAATAGTTGCTGTTCCATGTGAAGTATGCGTTATTTTATTTTCTTCTTAATGTTTTTTTTCTTCACTTTTAAGATTTTCTCAACAATAATTCATTATTTTCGTAATTAGGAGAAAAGAAACTTCCCTTCCAAAGCCATCCAAAGTGAAAGTCAGAGCTGTGCTTCTTTTAGACAAGTCAATGGTTTCAGGGTGCCCTGCACACCCAGGTGTCCACCATGCACCCAGGGGTGGGGGAGAGGTTTGCAGGGGCAAGGTGGGGCAGGAGTGGGGGTGGATGAGGTTCTCAACCAGAATAGCTCTTTCCCCTGTTTTACATATTGGGTTTCTGCATAATATTTTATGTAAAGAAAAGTTTCCACTGCGTAAAAAAAAGGTTGAAAACTTTTACCATGAGAATAACAGTTGAAGGGCTAAATTTAGGCTATATGAGAATCGCTCAAACTTTTGAGTTTGAATAGAATTTCCATAAAGAAAACCCTACAGATTCTGAGAGAACAGAAGCCCTGACACGTTAACAAATGTTCAATCTTTTCAAGGCAGGCTGGACCCATGCAGCTGTGGGAAGAAGTTTCAGTGAGGGATGAAGAGCCTACCCAGGGACCCCCAATGCAAAGGGCCCGAGGGCAGCAGGAACACCAGGGTTCATAAGGCCCAAAGAGACACATATCAGAACCTCAAGTGAGTGGCTCTCTTGTTTTCTAGGGAAAACCAAATGCAGGAGGTGCCGGGACCACCTGGTTGTTAGAAGCATGGGCAACTGATCTGCCTTCAGAGACAACAGATCCGCCTTCAAGTCCTGGGTCTGACATGTGTAAAACCTGTGAGGTCTCAGCAAGTGCCATCGCCTCTCAGATGAGGAGCTGTAAATGGGGTTTGAGAATGTAAAAGGATGCAGCCATTCTGGAAAACAGTCTGGCGGGTGTTTTAAGAAGGTAAATATAAATTTACCATATGACCCAGCAAAGCCATTCCTAGGTAACTCCCCAGAGACATGAAAACATATGTCCACGCAAAGACTTGCACATAAATACCCTTAGCAGCATCATTCATCAAATGGAAATCATCTCAATGTTCGTCAACTGGTGAGTGGATAAGTAAAATGTGGTCTCTCCATACCCCAGGGTACTATCTATAATAATGAAGGTGTAATATGCTAATTAGGCCGGACCACCTTCCGAACGAAGCCTGAGCTGTGAGGGAAGCCCGGTTCCCGGTGCCAGAGGGAAGCCAGAGCCGGCCGCGGGGGGGAAGGAAGGCCTACTCTTGCCTCTTGCACGAATTTCGTGCATGGGGCCTCTAATAGGACAATAAAAAGGAATGACATCCTGATATATACCACACCCTGGGCGTACCTTGAAAAAATTATTCTAAATGAAGAAGTCATCATGAAAGATCACATATCACATGAGTCCATGTAATGAAATGTCCAGAAAAGCAAGGCGATGGAAGCAGAGAATAGATCAGTGGTTGCCTAGGGCTGGGGGTGAGGTGGGAACCAGGAGTGACTACAGAAGAGCACAAATTTCCTTTGGGGGTGATGAAATGTTCTAAGACTGGGTTGTGGTGATGGATGTACAACTCTTTAAATTTACTGAAAATTATTGAACGATACACTTTGAATGGGCACATTTTATGATATGTAAATTAGACCCCAATAAAGCTGTTTTTAAAAAAATGGGCAATGGGAACAGGAGGGTGGGGCTCAGGCAGGTCTGAGGCCAAGAAGGGTCCCTGGTGCCCGGACATTAGCCTGAGACAAGCAGCGTCGGAGAAGGAAACCTGGTGACTTCCCCAGCGCTGCCTCCCTCTGGACCGCCTCCCATTGCCCTGGCAGGTGGAGGAGGTTGACTCAGCCACAGCTGTGAGCTCAGGGGAGCGGGGGAGCTGCCATCCATCCCGCTGTGAGCTAACGCCCCAGCAGCCTCCCCAACACCAGCCCCCACCCCTCCTGCACACAGAAGCCATCCCGGCCAGCTGGGAGCAGCGGGCTCTGGCGTGCTGGCAGGAAACAGCATAGCTGGGAGAGATTGCCTGCTGATGGATGGCAGCTCCACATCCCTCCTCCAAGACCCAGCCACCTGTGGCCCCCCCAGGGCACCTCGCACCACCCCCACAGCCTGCCTCAGTGCACAGTGCTCTGGGCCCCCACACTTACCTGGCTGTCCCCAGACCCAAGAGACCAGCCTATGGGGCCTGGCACTTTTCTTTCAAATTTAATACATGTACCCTTGGATCCATCTCCTCGATTTTTCCACACCTATCCTAGATAAACATTTGCATGTGTGCACAAAACGTTCACTTCAGCAAAACCAAGACCACTGAAAATCTTACATCAATAAGGAACCAGTTTAAAAATCCTGGTGAATCCATACTATGGAATAACAGCAGTTAAAAAGAACAACACAGATTATTTCCCTGTAGTTTTACTGGCATGAAAACACCTCCAAGATATATTGTTGGGTGAAGAAAAGGAAATTGTGGAATAATGTATCCAGGATGTCCTCACTTACACAAAAATAAAGACAAAAAAATCCCAACTAGCTCCTACTTCTCCAAGCCCACAGATACACAGGTAAACGGGGAAAATGCCTGGTAGGAAACACCAAACACCATTATTAATTTCAGAAAGGAGGGAGGGACGGAGGGAGGAGGGAGGGAGAGAGAGACATTTTACTCTGCATACTTCTGTGGTTTAATTTTTTACACGAAGATGTTTGTGTATGTTCGGGTCTTTAAAAACATTGGTCTTGTAAGAACGAACTAACAAACGGAAAAAGTGTTTTGAGATGGTCACCGTGTTGGTGCAGGGTTCAGGGTCACTTTTCAAAGAGCTGTCAATCAAGGATCTTGTCTCGTTCTTGCCACTCCCCCTTGAGGGCAGGCTCAAACCCCCGTTTTGCAGATTCAGAAACTGGACCCAGAGAGGTGAAGCCAGCTGCTCAAGGTCACACCAGGGCTGAGGGGCCCTGGTGCTCTTTCTAACCAGAACACCAGGGGTGGGGGGTGGGCAGCAGGCTGGGGGGGGGGCGGGGGGCGGGCGGAGGGCGGTGCCGACCTTCTGAAGCAGCACAGCCAGCTCACAGAGCCTCTGCAAAGGGAGGGGAAAAATGGGACTTTGTCAGGGAAGAAGGGAGTAAAAGATGAAAGAGGAGCTGATGAACTATCGCCCACAACAAAAATTAGACATCATGATGTGCCTCCCACTGAGTGGGATGGGCCTGCCACGTCACCCAGCAAATGGCACGTGGGTAGGAGCCTGGAGGGGTCGTGTCCCCTGAGCCTGGGATTTCATGCTTCTGAGGGGGCTGCTCAGCGCAGGCTCTGGGCTCAATGCTTCCAGGAATGCCTCTCTGCTTATTCCCCAGAGCGCTCTGTAACAGGGCACAAACGGAATTGTGCTTCGCACAGGCATAACACCCAACACCTTCTAGCATAGTAAATGCCACCACGTCTCAGTTATTTCGTTGATTGCTTGAGCACCAAGCGTCGGGGTGTACAGAGGCAGGAGCCCAGAGGGACCCAGGAAACATGGCTGGGCCCCGTGTGGGACAGCCAGAAAGGATTTGTATCCAAAGAGGGACCAGAGGGACCAGAGGCTGCTGAGGGTGAACACAGGACACAAGCATAAATCTCAGATGCACAATGAGCAGGCGTGACCCCTCAGCATGCTCAGAGAGCACAATGGTTAAATCATAGATCCTCCATTCATCCTTATAGCAGGAAGCAAACCTACAAGGCCATGAGGCCAGTGGCAACAGCTTGAATCCTGGGGGTTCTGATCCTGGTCTGCCACCTTGGTCAAGGTTCTGAACCTCTCTGGGTCTCAGTTTCCCTATCTGTAAAATGGGTGTTTTATACCTGCCTCTTAGGTATCATGATATATGGGTCATGGGACACATAATAATATAATTAAATAAAAATATAACAATTACAGAGTACCCTTAAAATGTGGAAACAGATTATATGAGTGTGTATATGTGTTTATATTTATTTACTCATTCACTTTGTAAAGTGAAAATGGCCTAGACAACATTGTGTATATTCTTCTGTTTCCAAACTTTATTAACATAACTATGATTATTTTATACACATATAAATATATTATAATTTATATATTTATAATTACATGTTTATATTATATACTACTTTATATTATATAACCACTGTATTATTTTATTTTATTATATTATTACTCTATTTTATCTTGTTATATAAGTATATATGTCTATAATGAAATGTCAAGAAATTCACAGGCATTCAATGTTCACAGCAAGTCCTTGAGGTAGATGCAATTATTATCCCCATTTTACAGAGATGGAAATTGAGGTATAGGAAGCGAACTGACTAGGGTCTATCTGCTAGGGTCACCGAGGGAATGCTTGACAAAGTCAGTTTTAGACCCCTATAGTCTGACTTCAGAGCCTATGCAATTAACCACCCCCTCCACCATCTACCTCTGCAGCAAAAGCTAAATGAAAGGGACCTGCATACTGAGCTCCCGCTCGTGGCCAGGCACAGAGGAGGCACCTAAGAATGCAAGATCCTATGAGCACCGAGCTCTTGGAGGAGAGACCCGACCCAACCTGTTCACCAAATACCTAGAAAGGTAATGTGCAAGAAGTAGGTTGTCAGTAAACCTTTCTGGCAAGAAAGGAAAATGATGATGTTCATTAGCAAAGGCAGGGATTTTTGTTTCCCCCAAAAAAAGTCTAAGATGAACTTGGAGTCTTCCTAAGATGTGTGCGGCTGCCGAACTCGGGAGAGGGTCAGGACACACCCCGCCCCCAGCCCAGGCCTCTACAGCACAGAATCTGGGGGAGTGGGAGGGGGGGAAACCCTGAGCAGAGGCACGAAGGCCCAGGCGCCGCCAGCGACCACGGATCAGAGTGGCCTACCTTCCTCGACGTCGTTCCTCAGGGAGGCCTCCAGCAGGGCCACGCTGGCATCGAAGGTCACCTTCTTCCTCCGGCCACCCGTGCTGCGCTTCCGCTCATGCTTGCGCTTGCGGTGCTGCAGGTCCTGCTCGTACTGCGCCCACTTCTTCAGCTGCTGCGCCCGGCGCTTCTGGGCGGCCCGCAGCCGCTCCAGCGTGGGGCACCTTCTCCAGCAGCTGCAGCTCCGTCAGCAGGTCCACGTGGCTGGCCATGGCCTCCGCGCCTCCCACGCCGGCTCGGGGCTAGCACGGTGCGCCCGCGGCCCGGGGAGCGCGGGGGCTCCGGCGGGGCTGGGGCCTCATGGTGGGGCCTGTGGCGGGGAGACAGACAGGTGGACATGCTTGTCAGGCTCAGAACTCGGATCTGGTTATGCCACCCCGTCCATGTTCAAAACACTTTTCCCCCTATTTTATTGGGGTTATTTTTCTTCTTGTTTTTTTATTCAGATAGAATTGCCCTGTAAATTGTGTAAATTTAAAGTGTTGATTTGATACACTTATATACTGCTATGCGATTTCCATTGTAGTGTTATATTAGGGACCACCTCCATCACCTCATACCATTTATTGTGGCTATACTGTTATAACACACACGGTTGTTAACATTGTTATAACATAGGATTTATTGTTAATTTTAAAGGAATTAATACTATATTTTTAATTTCTCAGCACTAATTTGTAATATGCTAAATATTGACAGATATAATCCAGAGAAATAAAGGCTCTCTGGGGGTCTTAATTTTAAAAGTATAAAGTTTGATAACTGTTGAACTACTGAGACCTAGAAAATCTTATTTGAAGTGTTCCTCTTTGATTGCTCTTAAAAACGACGACAACAACAACAACAACAACAAAAAAAACTTTTTAAAGTCACACCTCTTGGAGCTCTTTGATTCCTGGACAATGTGAGGTCAACAATATTCCACAGAGTCGGGAGCCCACTGGTTTCTGTCTTCAGACCCATGGGCTCTCTTGGAACAACTGGAACCTCTCTAAGCCTGTCTTCCCACCTATAAAATATACCTGCCTCCCAGAATTTATAGGATGTTCGGGGAGTAAAAAAAGTTGACCAAAATGTTAAATACCTAGTATAGCAGCAAAGAGAAAGCCGCTTGGAGGAAGAAAGCAGGGACATGTAAACGCAGTGCTTCCGGGAACCCACAGGCAAGGCTAGTGGAGAACTGGGGATTGAGAGGTAACAGGGAAAGACTGGCACGTGTCTACGGTTGCACAGTGTGGAAATGTCCATTGTCACAAAGGGGATCAGGATGGCCCTGTGCTTTAGGAAGTAATTGTTATCTCCTGGCTTCCCTGCTCTGTTCCCATGGCAGGGGGTGGGGTCCTGCCTGTCTTCAAGAGGCTGAAGACCAGGGTTCAGCCTTAGCCTGGACCCTCAAGTGCTCAGGTTGGGTCAGAATGTTCAGGTCTCTCCCAGCTCTGAGACTGGAGGTTGGACAGGCAGAATGGGGAAGGGGCTGGCTTGGCAATACTCCCAGGGCAAAGGTCCAGTGGATCTGAGTAAACATAAGCCAATGGCAAGGCGCAGCAGGAAATGGCTAACTGGCCTTTTGTTTTCTTTTGGAACACCTTACAATGCTTTTTAAATTAATTAATTAATTAAACTTTTACTTTGAGATCATTGTAAATACACATGCAATTGTAACAAGTAACACAGAAAGATGCCTTGTATCCTTTATCCAATTTATCCCAGTGGTAACATCTTGCAAAACTACAGTATAATATCACAACCAGGAACTTGACCTTGATGTAATTTATCAATCTTTTTTTTTTAAATCCTCACCCAAGGATATTTTTTCCAGTGATTTTTAGAGAGAGTGCAAAGGAGGGTGGTCATAGGAGGGAGGAAGGAAGGGAGGGAGGGAGAGAGAGAGAGAGAGAGAGAGAGAGAGAGAGAGAGAGAGAGAAAGATTGGTTGCCTCCTGCACACGGCCCAACTGAGCCGGGGATCAAACCTGCAACCCTTTGGCTTGTAGGATAATTACCATATCTAGTTTTATAAGAAACTGTCAAACTGTTTTCAAGATGGGTTGTACCATTTTTCATTCACACTAGCAACATGAGTGATCCAGTTTCTCTGCCAGCATTCTGACTGTCACTGGCTTTTATTTTAGCCATTTAGATCAGCGGTCGCCAACCTTTCGGACCTCACGGACCACCAGTGGTCCCTCAGACCACGGGTTGGCAACCGCTGATTCAGATAGATATTATTGTTGCCTTTTTAAAATGAGCTCAGAAGAGTTGAATTCACAACCACACCATGTCATCATGATGGTCAGACCTCACTGGGGGCTGGTGGACCACATGTCTACTTTCCTCCCTTCCTCAAGTGATAAACATTCAGTGAACGCCTGCCCTGTGACAAGTTCTGATTCAGAGATGGATTAGGGACCAGCACTGCCTTGTAGTAAATCCCAGTCAGTCAGTCTGTCTGTCTGTCAATCTATCTATAAATTCATTTAATCCTCCTGACAAGCTAATGAGGTAGGTACTATTATCATTCCATTTCATAGGTAAGGAAAGTGAGGCACAAAGAGATTAAGTAATTTACCCAACATCACACAGCTAGAAAATGAACAAGCCAACCTGCCTGGGGTTACCAGGAAAGGTTCTCTAGAGTAAACGGCCACTGATCATCTCAAAGGATGAATATGAAGGAGTTCACCAGGTCAGAGGGAGAGGCATGGGCTAAGAGGGAGCTTGGCAATGTTCAAAGGCATGGAGAGGGGTTGACCATCATGAGGGTGTTCTGGAAACAACACACACAAACTTGGCTTGAAGAGGATGTTGCTACTCAGCCCAAAGGGAACAGAAGTCTTGGGGGGCAGTGGCGAGCAACTTGTGGCTGTAGACCAGACCTAACCGGAAAGCCCCCTGTGGCCCACAACATGGCCCACACGATGTTTTACAATCTCATAATTCACTGCTTGTGTCGAAAACTTGGAGACGTCATCGTCAAAATCGAATTTTCAGCTTTTCTTAGAACATCTCAGGACCTGGCCATGCTGGGCTCACATGGCCACAATCAGCAGGTGTGGAGTGGGACTGTCCCCTTCAAACAGGCACATACCTTCTAATTTACCACAGTCCCCACTACCCCCATTACTCTCACCTGACCTCCTTCACTAAATGGCAACACTTGCTAACTCCTATGGTCATTTGTGCTTGCAAGCCCTGTCTTGGGCAAAATGAGACCAAAGTCTCCAAATATCCGCAGGTCCAATCTGCACAAGAGAGAGAAGATAGTCTGTGAGCCTCCCCAGTGCAGAACAGGACCAAGGTCCAGGGGAGTCACTGTGTGCACCCACAGAACAGACGCCAGCCTCCGGAGCTGTCCAACAAGCAGTTCCACAAGGCGCTCCTGGTCCAGTGGCTGTCTCAGGAGGTAGCCCATTCTTCATCACTCACTGGACAGTAAATTTCCACTATGTCATCAACCTGAGGACTCTGTAAGATTTCTTTCAGCCCCGAGATTCTGTACCCAGACAGCTACTCATTTCTTCATTATTAATTATTTACTGATCACTTGCCAAGTGGGAGACACCAAAAACATGCTAAGGCTGAAGATAAGAATAACCAGGCCCAACACTTACACTGTGAAAGCACTTAGTTCCTTTGCAAGAACTTGCCCAGCCATCATCTCATCCAAGTGTTTCCCTAAGTGTGGAAAGAGAATCCATACTGAAGGAATTTTCAGAAAGTACAGGGCAAGGTTTAATATAGCCTGGGCTCAGAGAAAACAACTATCCCCTTTTCACTTCTTTTTTAATCTATCAGGTTGTCTCCAGGAGAAAGTGTCAGTTCAGTACTAATAGACCTTTAACATCATTATAACCATGCCAATCTCCCTTGTAAACAAAGAGAAAGCAGGCCCCGGGCAAGTGATTGTATCCAAGATAGAATGTAATGACATTGTTGTGTTTTCTGTGGATTTGTTTCTTTATAGTAGTGACGTACAATTTCCCTTTTTAATAAATCTACTTCAGTGGAAAGCTAGCAACGTGATAGCAACGAAAAATTAAATGATGATGGCATTTAGTGTTGGCAAAGATTGTTCATGATTGACATTTGGAAAAGCCACCTGGCCACCCATCCTCAATGATGACAATCTTATAGAGAAGCATTTGTACGAGTTCATTAGTTCATCTGACAAACAGTTATTAGGCATCTATCACATGCCGGGACGGTGCTAAGGGCTAGGGATACAGCCGAGTGAAAGATGGGCAGTCCCTGCCCACTGGAAGGATGACACAACAGAGGCACAAGGGAGTGGGTGACATGCTCCAAGGATAGAGATTGAGCTAGTGCCTCAAACCCTGACTCCCAGTGCAGTGTTCCCTCCCTGGGTCCAAGCCCCAGGCAGACCAAAGACACTGCAGTGAGCTCCCTGGCTCGGGCAGTTTGCTCAGGGTTAAGGAATTAAGGGCAGTTGCCCAACCCCCTGGAGAAAGGTGAGGACGATGCCTCCCAAGGGCCAGTAAAAGGGGCCAGAGCACATTTTCTCTGACTTTGTTCCCCCTGCCAGCCCCTCCCTTCTCGCCCCTCTGGGTTCCCTGGAGCTGGGGCTCCAGGACAGCTCCCTCTTGGCTACTGGTTTTCAGGTGACCTAGTTTTCCCCAATAGACACCTCCTCCCACCCCTGGCCGAGAAAACCCTGCTTGGTCTAATTAAAGACTTGCCACCCTACAGCTAACCCAGCAGCTGGGCGACTCCCAAGACAAGGTGCTGGCCTGGGTGCAGGGGTAGCCCACATGGCTGGAGGCTGGCCCCCTTCCTGAAACCTGTGCACACCTGTCTTGTACTTCCAGAGACAGGCCTGGATGGTGATGGGGACACAGCCCAAACTGCCAGGACCTGGGAGAGTAACAGCATCAGCCACCCTTAAAGGGGATCCCAAAGGCCTCATTTGGAGGATAACCAGCTCCTTGGAGACATGGAGCCAGTGTGTTGTGGAAACATCCAGGTGGATCATCCCGTGGAGAACTGGGCATGTGGAACCACAAGTCAATGGAGTGGCCAGGCTGGCTGGGCAGGTGTGGGAGGGGTCTGCAGAGGCCAGTTGTGTGTGTGGGGGGCGGGGGGGGGGCAGGGAGCTGTACTGTTTGACATGGGAAGAGAAATCAGAAGCAAGGCAGAAAAGAGTGGGGTACTTAATTTTTCCAACAACTGTCTGTGTGAAGTCGGATAGATGAGCCAAATAGCCTGACTGT